GTTTGACATTGACACGAGGGGATACGAAATCTTACTTTCCGTTACGCGCGATCGCGTGAAAATTGTGTCTGACGTGAGGGCGTCGCGCGGCGCCGCGGCGTGCTCCACGGATATGTGAGTCATGACCCTCGGAGCCTGACACAGACTGACAGACCCCCGCTATCATCTCCACCTCAATCCTCATCCTGCTCGCGCTATCAACCGACAACATTACCGGACACGATTACGCGTAAAATCTTCACGGAAATTCGAAAAGAGAGTAACGATCGCGGCAACGAATGACGACTCTCGTGGATCACGGACGTGCCGATCTCTCGTGCCATGCTCGCGATCCATTTCGCGGATTCTTCCGCGTGTCAAAGCAGCCGGTGATCGAGACGTTATCGTGTGTGCTCTCCGTAGTTTTAAGAGGTTGATTTTTTTATGAGGTCGCGGAGCGCCTTATCTCGCCGCGGTGGTCATCGCGAAACCGCAGCATGCTCCAATCGGCCTGTCCCGGACGCCAATTCGATCGGCGAACGTTAGCGAGGATCACGCCGATCCGGATGGCACCCGTTCCCGCACAAAGCTCGCAATTGTAGGGCGTTGAGAGGATTTACGAAACTCACCACGACACAGCACAGCACTGACGACATGCCGCCATGTTGAATGTCAACATTCGGCGTTCGCATACATCCAACGGAGCGACCACGAGTTTCCTGTGCGCGCGCGCGCACGCGCGCAGCTGGGAGTCGAGACCTGGGACCGCGACGTCGCGATGGAAACGGTCTTAAAGTGTCATTACTGATTACAGGGGAGCATTAAGCGTCGAACATCTGCGCAGAAACTTATTGCGCACGATTCTGCACATATACTGTCTTGACATACGATACTGGAAATTTATATTTGTTTACATTATATAATGTAAATTACAAGATTCCTCTATCAGCAGTGTATACGTTAGACCCAATGCGTTTCAGTAAAATTATTTCACATACCAATGCGCATGCTCTGATGCTCGACGCTCCCGTGTGAAGATAGCTTAAGGGCGCCTGTATATAAGCTGATTTTTCATGCGCAGCACGCTGCGACAGCAAAATGTGATTTAAATTTTCAAACGATTGGAAGCGAATCACAAAAATTGGAAAATTGGCTCACGAAAAATTTTTAATCAATAGTAAACTGTTCCAGTAAGGAATTAAGGGCAAGATCAATAATATTAAAGAATTTTACAATAGTTGCAAAGCTGCTTTTTCTGCTGAACGCAGCTATTGGCTGTCGAATGTTTCCCGAAGGATAATTTGAATTAAACTGTGCGATTAATTTAATCAGCGATTAACGCTCGGTTCCACCAATAAGATTAACTTGTTGGTTTACTTCTTCTAATTCTAAAAATTAAAAAAAAGAAGTAAATTAATTTTTACTTCTTTTACAGGCGAGATTAAAGTTAATTTCTATACTGGTAGAAATAGGTCAGAATTGCTTAAAGTAAATTTTCCAATCGTATAATTTATTATCCCTAATTTAATGTTTTATATTAATAAAAAAATTCATCCATATTGGAAAAAAATGTAAGTTAATTGGAGTATGGAAGAAGTCATTTTAATTAGGACAACTTCGATCAATTATCTTAATTAGATTAACTTAATCAGTACTATTTTATTAAGTGATACAAATAAAGCTATTAAATTAACAAAATTATGTTTAATGTATCGATAGAAGATTAAAACAACGAATTGTACATTAAAGATTCTGTCCTAAGTGATCTATTGGTTGAGTTAACTGTTGATTAAGTTACTCGAAATTTGGTCAAAGTCGCTGCAACCACATGCATTCTACCAATGCAGATTAACTTTAATCTCGATTTAATTTACTCTTATCTTTCTCTAATCCTTAGTACTAAACTTTTACATTAAATCAATCATTTTTCTCAAATATATTTTATATTTTAAATATATATGTATATATAAACACACACATACACAAATATATACATATTCAGAATTGATTAGTAACGGCAGATTTGTTGCTCAAACGTTTTTATTCCGAGAACGATTAGTATAACAAAGTTGAGAGGGAGAACGAAACGTCAACGAGAGCACCAATCAATTTCGAGGAACCAAAAATGTACCTCAATCTCATTTGACTCTATATTTTGACTCTTATTATTGTGGCTCTCTTATCATTAGTATACAAAGTGACATATCTTCTCGAGCTCAACTATTCGATCATATAATTTACAGTACGACGGTCAGTTTAGTAATAGATGATTTGTGCAAAGTTTGCGCTTATTGTTAAGTGTTCAGCTTCGTCGGAGCTTCATTGTTGGACGTCCTCGTATAGATGCCAAAATGATTCAGCCGACGCCAGCGTAGATCTTCGGGATCGGGTGTTGGGGGGGCAGTAACACATTCGAGACTCAGCTGCAAGGCTCGTCTCAGCTCGTCATCTTCGTCCGTATCATTTACCAAGTCTGTTAAATGCGTCGTTTTGTCGTCAGTGTGTAGATCCAATCTCAACTTTAACGTCTTATCTACGTCATCCTCGTCATTCTGCAGACTCATCTGCAGGGCTCTAGCTAATTGCATATTTTCGTCCTCCTCCTCGTCACTCTTTTCTTCCCTGCTCTCGACTCTTATGGGAATTATCCTTTCACGAGGTTCGTCTGTGGATAGTCCGGGTTTATGCAAAAGCGAGGACGTGCTTCTGCTTGCACTTGAAGATTGTGGGACCTTCACTTCTCCCATCGCGAGAGCAGTTTTCAAAATTTCGTCCTCCAGCTTGGTGCCTAAGCGATTGCCATTGGATGTGATTTTTGATTCCGAGTTTGGATTGCTTTTAGTTGCGACTATAGGATTTTTCAGAAGAACATCTTCGGCGGGACATTGAGGAAGGGTACCAATAACGATAAAAATAGAATAACCTGTAAGATTAGCAGTTGATTGATATACCTTTGATTGACACACTTTTCGTTAGTGTCTCGCTATCCGCTTACCTTCTTGTAACAATTGAGCTAGATACATTGTGAGATAAGTGTCTGATATAAGCTGGGGTCCGCTGAGCATTGAATTTAAATTAAACCATTGACTTGCAAGTTTTCTTATCGTAAACCAATGTCCCTTATAATTACAAATATATGCTCTCATCCGCCTGAAAATTATATTGCCAATACATATATTATATCTTATAAAATTATTATAAATAAAACTACTTATTTTACATCATTGAAAAGTGAACGCCTGATATAAATGATATGATATAAATATGTAACATAAAAAAAACAAGTATTAATTTATATGTGTGATTTGTTACTGTAATTGTAAGAACAATGAAATCTTTGGAACATATGCTCTTCTGCAAGTGCAATAGAACAAAATATATCAGGACACAACACAGAATAGACTCAAAATCTTTGACTACCTAAGTACTTGTATAATCAAAGCTCAAAATAAATTATCAATAACCTACGAAGGATCGTTCTGTGCCAGTAAAGCTGTTGGTTCCGTGCTGTTATATGGAATCAGTTCTAAACCCCAAACTTTCAAAGCACTGCTAATAACTTGAACTGAAAAGTATCCACTGTCATCCATGTTTCCCGATGGTTGCTAAACATAAGAAGCAATTCGCTGTTACAGAGAGTATTTGCTCAGCTCTCGGTGGGAAATAATAGCAAGATCAAGCATTTATGCCTATCGAAAAGGAAATTTCCAAAGGTTACGTATCTTTTCTATAATTTCAATTTTTGTATGACACTGCTATCGTCGAGTATTATGCAATTGTATACCGCGAAGCTTCGACACGCGACGTTGTGTTTACCTCGAGAAACAGCTTGTAGTCCTCACTGTCGACGCCCGACTCGGCCATCCGGATTCTTTCCTCCTCGTCCATTTGATGACCGAAGTTCGCCAGGTCGACGGCGTTGAAGTACGGGCCTTGCAGGAGTGCATTCAGGCAGTGCTGGGCGCACAGGTAGCCCTCTTGCTGCGAGGAAAAATCATCGCTAAAGAACATGAACACACAATTCCCGTCGCTCGTGAGAGAATTGATCGTCGTTGACGGCAGCGTCTTTTACCTTCTCGTGAAATATACTCTCCATTGCACAGTTCACCCGGCGATACCGCGGATAACGCAGAACCCCGCGCCCGTCAGACGCGTAATAATAATCGTAAATATAATGTCCCTCCGCCGATCTCGGCCGCAGGTGAGAACGTCATCCACAAAAATATTTTCAGCCTACAGTCATGAACAACAGATGACCATTGTGTCGCGCTCAATTCTCGCCAATCTTCGCTGGAATGTGTTGGAAAGATTGACCGGATCACAGATGGCGGCAGTGTTGAAAGAATGGCTTGAAATGGCTCCTGCACTTCCTGCCTGGCGCGATGACGTAACACGCGTTAAAGTGCCTTTTCATGAGACCCGTTCGTTTTTAGCTCAACTTCTTGCACAGTTCATCTTTCTTCCTTTCCACTCCAGGAGGAAAGAAGAGGAAGAAAGATGAAGTTGGTGCAAAAGTTCAGCCAAAAGGAACCAGGCCTTTCAGCTGAAAAGAACAGCAACGGAGACCCGTGCTGACGCTCGACGCTCATTATTAGCATCAAAATAGATCACGTGATCGAAATGACGTTTGATATTCAATTTTTATCACGTGATCCGTCAACATCCGGTCAGTCGTTTCCGGATAGAACGCGCGCACGTTTTTGAAGACCGGATCGTACATTTCGTACCTTGACGTCCGTAAGGCATCGATTCCTCGCCTCGGACTCGCGGCGAGCTGTTATAAATTATTGAAAGAGTCTCTACAGCGTGTCGATATCGCGCGTTGCGTTCCATTGACATTCAAGGGAAACTGGAACTCCATTAATTCCACCTGTCACGCATTTTTCGCGGCCCCGTCGCTTCTCCGACGCGGCCACCGTCTTTATTTTCTCACGGACGTTCCGTCACCCGACGGATTCCTTTGTCGGGATCAGGCGACCACGTACGACCGATCGCTATCCGCTCCTATTCGTATCCTTGTGTTGTAAAAAGTACCGTTGCGCGTCATACGTATATACGGGTGTACGCGCGAGTTTCATCACGCGTGTATGTGTGAGTAGTGCGACGACGATCGTGCGCTGTGCGCCTCGCGACAGCTCGGCTCGGCTCATTCGGCTGTATCGCGCGAATACAGCTGCCGACGCCGCGGAAGCTCTAGCGGAACTGCCCAGGACTGCCAGCGTCCGGTCCATTCTGTTTCTCCTTACGACCCAGTTCTCGTTTCACCTCTGCCACCCTTCCGCGCGAGAATGCGAGACCGCGGACGAACGTAAGACACCCCGGTCTCCTCCCGAGGAAGGAACGGCGACAGAGAGACGTGTGCCTGCCCCGCGAACAAGCCGCGGTTATGTTTTTCGATGGAAAGTACTTTAGCGACAATGGCAGCAACGTCCCCGTCGAAGGTACGTTTAAGGTCCCCCTCCCCCTGTAATTTTCCATCCGTGTAATAATCCCAGGGATTCCAGCCGCTCGTGTAATCGGGAAACGATCGAAAAATCGAAAGAGAGATTAGAAACAGCATCTATTTTATTTGTGACTCGCGAGGGGACCGAACGATCGAGTATAATTCTGACGGACATTGCGAGACAAAATGGAAAACGTACGAAGTCGACGAGAATTTGTTCGCTCTTGCTTATCGTCGGATCGTTATCAGTGAATATGAATTGTCAATCGCACCCGTGATTGATAATTCATATTGAACGATGCAGTCATTCTTGATTTAGGAATTAAATCATGAACGAATGTACTTTGAACAAAGAGTTTTATGAACAAAGATTTTTATTGTCATAATGTAATTGCATTCGTCTTCAGACACACAACACATATGTATATTAATAATTTTTTAATTTTTGCTATTATTTACCATAAATGCCTCATAAATAATGCATTTTTATTTTTTTTTGAGTTTTATAGCAATCCCTGTTTATATTATTTAACATACGCTGAATAGGGATCTTTATGGAAACGTGTATAAAATTATGTATCTATTCAGACGTTAATACTTGTTTCTAAAAAACATTCATATTGTATGATCTCTTTGACCAAAGTTGTTTCTTCTATAAGATATTTAATATAAAGAAATATTACATTAAATGAATTTGTTTAATATCCTAGAGAAGACTGCAGAAGGAATTGATGTCTTTAATACGTGAGCCTCCACCAGGTGTACACGTAGATGCAGAGTTAGCTGGACAAAATTTGACGCAATGGATCGTCCACATGGAAGGTGCCAAGGGTACGCTGTACGAGGGGGAACAATTTCAGCTTCAATTTAAGTTTAGTTCAAAGTATCCGTTTGATTCGCCAGAAGTGACTTTTATTGGTGGAAATATCCCCGTACATCCACATGTCTATAGTAATGGTCATATTTGTTTATCCATATTAACGGAGGATTGGTCTCCTGCTCTCAGTGTGCAAAGCATCTGTCTGAGTATCATTTCCATGCTAAGCAGCTGTAAAGAAAAGGTGTGAGATTTAACTGTTAAAACATATTGTCAGCTTTAATGTAATTCAATATATAATGTATGTATTTTTCATGTAGAAGAGACCGCCTGACAATACATTTTATGTGAAAACTTGCAACAAGAATCCAAAAAAGACAAAATGGTGGTATCATGGTGAGAAAAATTGCTTTATATTACACATTTCAGAGTCTGTCTCTGGCATTTTTATCATATTGTTAAATTCTTGTCCTGTATAACATTTGCAATTAGCTGTATCCTAACTAATTATAGTTTCATATATGTAAAAGTACAACTTTGTAGAATGAATAAAATGAAAAATTTTTTTTTTTAGATGACAGTGTCTAACACTGAAGATCATATAAAAATCTTATCAACTTGTCAACATTTGTTGGACCAAGTGGGATAACATCCATATGTGGAACCTGACGCATTAAATCAATAGAATTTTCGCATATGATAGGGGAGAATAGTTGAAATCGAACTGTGTTCCAAATAGGACTTTTTTAATTTAAATGAATACAGTTAAGCAGATTTGCGTACTATTTATAATGTAAAGACATTGTAAGACATTGAACATGTGACAGTAATTTGACAGTTCTCTGTCATAACGTTCATAGAATAGACACAAATATGTATTTTCGGCCATCTCTTGTGAAAATTTTTTTAAAAAAGATATCGTAAATCATTTAAGAGGTGTTAAAAGTTTGGAAGGTAATTAATTTAAGATGATTAAAGAGTGCAAAATTCAAAAATATCAAGCATTTTGCGATCACTTTTGAATGTTTATTGTAAAATTTGTTTCAAAATTCGTGTCCAAATCGGACAATACAGTAAATCATACCATCAAAATGGTTTGAAGCAAAAATGAAGGAAATTAAATGATTTTTTCAACGGTACCTTCGGTTTTACGATCGGACTTTATTTACGCCTTATAGAGAGCAAAAATTGCAAATAGGTTCGATTTAGGCCACTCCCCTATATTATATAGTAAAGTCAATATAACAAGAAATTAGTACTTTTAAGGAAAGACAAGGCTACAACTTACTTATTATTATAATTATAGAATTAATGCAAACTGCGTGAATTGTTTAATCATAAATTATTGCAATGTTGCTGATAGCGAAGCATATTTTAGTTATAGAATTACTATCATGATCAGTAAATTAATGCTAAAAAGACAGATAAATAAGAAGGTATTATTTATTATTAAATAAGATATTAATATATGAAGTTTTCTCTCTTGTTACTCCGAATTTAAGGAGATTCCTGATGTACATTAAAATCATTTAATAAATTTAGAAATTATGAAAAACATGATAAATATGCATACTACATTGATACTACAATAGCTATATATAGTCTAGTAATTTGCTTTCTGTTGCTTTTAATAAAACGTGAATATTGAATTATGATCTATTTATTACATACATTTAGGAAAGCATATTTTGCTCAAAATTTAGTGGCGAATACTACTCTTATACACTGATTTCCATTTGCAATAACAAAATGTGATTAAGCGCAATATATACTTTTTTAAATAAGCATTTTTTATTCTTTTAAATAAGCAAACTATATTTTCAATACATTCCTTTCTGTTGTATCAATTTGTTTTTTTTTTTTTTAATTTTTTTTAGGCTACCACTTACATCTATCAGGTTTGTTCTTTGTTGCTGCGTTAAAAAAACTGTTTTCTTTAAATCTTAGCTAAGTTTCACTACAAAGATCATGGTATCATGCAAATATGTTGAATAAATCCCGTTTAATGCTACTAAAACTTTCTATTTCGCTTTCGTCAAAATTCAAATATATGTATCTATTTTTTTAAGTATAATACTATATTGGTTCAGATACAAAGAACAGGCCTGTTAATAAATATTATGTATTTAATGAAGTAAATGTCGTATTTAAACAATTACAGTGAGAGTTGATATATAATAACTCATATATATTACATCTTTTAATAGCACTTTTACAACCTAGTTGTGATTTTTATTTAAATATATGTATAAGATATTGTCATATATATATATATATATGTATGTATCACGCTATGTTCTTTTGATAAGTTGTAAAAGTTTAATTTACATATATATATACATAATTCATTAGATGTATTATTTTATATAAAATAAGATGGCACTGATGATAATATACAGTGTGAAATTAATTAATGATACTGCAAATATTAACAATTGGCATACAGTCTAATGTTTTAAAATTTTTGTGTCACGTAATTTTATCATTACATATATTAATAATTAGTTAGTAAAACATTTTGTACATTTATTAAAAATGTAAAGTGACGTAATATTAAATTTCTTAATAACATTTAGTGTCTTTCTTCAATCATTGATTCATCGCGCCTTATATATACATATATATATGTGTATGTATGTGTGCGTGTGTATATATATACATATATATATAATTTGGCTATATAATGTATGTGCGAAACACAACTCTCACATGAGAAGATAAGTTTTAAGAAAGATAACTGATATATATCAAATTGAAGCATATCTAACGTAACTGCAATAAAATAATTTATTAGAAAAGTGTTTTATGCAATTATTATTTCATATCTTATCGCATTGTAGTAGCGATATTTCATTCTTTTTGCTCTATTAGGGCACTACCGAATATTTATCCTTTCACAACTGTTATTCGATCAAAAATAGTTACTGTTTCTGGAAAATATATTTTGTATACTTACGATCTTTTAATGCATAATCTTTTTCTATAGTAAATTATTTTTATCTTCAATATAAATATTATTCCTTAACAATAAATACAATACAAGAAGATGTGGTTGATAATGAAGATAAGTTTATTTTGCGGTTAATTGAAAAGAAAAACTCTGCTCTTAAGAGCATGGAATACTCTTATTAATCTTATAATTATAAAATCAATTTTGATATTAATATCAACTGATTTACGTTATAATATAATATATGACAAGAAAATTAACACTGTTATCTTTATTCGAATAATTTGCTGTAATATTTTATAAATTGATGGTAATATTTTAATTAGCGATAAGATTTATGTGTTATTTCTACTTTTTTAATCTCCCTTTCCTATAATTATTAACTGTTGTTGATTTATTCTTAGTTCCATTTCTTTATCGAGTCTTCGGTAAATACCAAAATCATTAGTCTATTTTCATTATATTATTTTCATTATATTTATTATCATTATACTATTTTCGAAATCTATAATTCCAAGAAACGACTTTATTTGTGCTCCAATTATTTTCGCGATTAAGCATATTTTCAGAAGCAGTTGCGAGAGGTGAATCTTTGTTGTATTTTGTATTACATGGTACATATACGTATGTAAATCTTTAATAAAATACAACTTTTATCAGAGTAAACTTGTCTTCTTTAGCCATATAGTTATGTGTAAATATCAAAGTATAAATAAGTTTTAATCGCGGCTCAACAGCACTTAGACTGAAAACCAACAAATACCATAAGTCTTGCATTTCTTATAATTAACTATCTTATAAGTAAATAATACGGTTGTATTATTTATCTGTCTTTTTAAAATATTAAAAAAAAATATTTCAGTTTCTATATAAAACCGATTCTCCCGAATTAATTTAATCTACGCTTTCGATTTATTTTCTGGTTATATTATAATTTTGGTCATCTTTTTATATGTAATTAAATTAATTAATGACGTGTTAAACGTGTTTAAATTCGACGCTAATATCATCAGTTATGATATGTTTTTATCTTATTAACAAGTGCAATAGCAAGAAGGAAGACTGATTGAAGAATTATCATCTCATATATGTATTCACTCGTTTATCACATATATGCATATATTTTTATTAATGTTGCGAAACCTTTATCAGCACGTTTTCATCACATCACATGCTTTCATTTATTATCAGTCCGCTGTAATTATATCGAATATTTTGTGTAGGATTAATATTTTATATATATATTATTATTCACTATAATATACATATGTATATCTTTATGTAAACGTTCACTTCAGTTTACAATTTCATTTTATCCAGAAAAATCTGGTATATCATCTGATTCAAGTGCTGTTAGATTTTTCAGAGATATGAAAAATCTTTTCTCATAAAACGTTATCTTTCTAAATTTAGTTCTAAGATACATATATGCAATACTATTTATTTTAGTTCCAAACAGAAAAAAAATACTGTCTCTTGTAATTCGTGACAATATAATATACGATATACATGTTCTCGACAATATAATTGTAAAGGATTAGTGCGAAATACTAATCCTTCATCTTTAATCGCAAAAAAATTACAATATAAACATAGATATTTGTGTATGCTACTGATTCGTTAGAAATCTTCTATCGAAGGAAGATACAAGTCGTCATCCGGCTCCACGAAAAAGATTAAAATTGTGTAAAGTGACGTTATCGCTCATACATGCATATCGCAGTTAATGTTAACACTGCGGTTAAGAGAAAGAGGCAAAGAGTGGGGCCAACGATTTCCGAGCACGTCTGATGTCTGACAACGCGACGACAGTCCATTTCGTATCGGAATGAACGGAGATAATGCCGCCATTACGGATGCGTTGATAATTGATTTTGTCGGCAGTTTGTTTGCCAGTGAGTTCTTGACAAGCGGCTTGCTGCCGCAAAATCCATTATTTTCGTTAAAAACGTCGCGTGCATTTTAAAATAAATATATATATATATAAAATATCGCATTATGTTATGGTGGTGTTGTTATAATACGCAGTGCGATTTGCAGCAGTGACATAGATTCAGTGCAAATATTGTGCGATATGGTAGTGTCATTCGCGTATCAGCACAGGAATCTATACTGGTGTTATTATTCGAATTAAATACGGGAGCATTGTACAGAAAGGAATATCGTGAACGCTATACCAATTCTCTGCTTTTCCATTCCTTTCCTCATTTTGCTTCTTGCGAACGAGCGCTCTCCACGTTTCCACCTCCAGGTGCGTCGTCCTTCGACAGTCGTGTGGCGTCATCGCTGAAGCCAGTATCTGTTCGACTAGTCTGACAGTGTCGTAGGATCAACGAAGATAACTGATAGTGGCCAGCTGAATCGAATCTTCTCTTATTTGGACTGTACGTACTTTATTCCTGCGGATCTTGTGCAATCTTCAACAGCAGTGCAATCTTCAACAGCAGTGCAATCTTCAACAGCAGGTGGAATCAACGAAGTGTGTCGAAAACTGCCGGGGACCAGTTCGAATGAAGTTTTCCTTTCTGGGAAACATTTTCCACGGTGACGGCATCATGTCGTCATAGATTGTTGGTGGATTTAGTGTTGGCAAAGTGACCGCCGCCAGCACAAATGATGATTTGTGCGAGGTAATCTCGAGTATGAGTCAGTCAATCCTTAATTTAGCAGATAATGCGGATTGTTGCCGACCGGTTACACTGATTTGGGATATTGAATTGGGATTTTCCTCGGGATTTTCTGATCAAGCTCGTCACTTGTTTTTTTATTTTACCGATTTTTATTTTACCGATTTTTATTTTACCGATTTTTATTTTAATAAAATATACTTTAGACATATGTTTTCACTTCTATTCACGATGAACTTTGTTCCTACAGTTGATGTATAATTTCTCAAAACAAAGCACGAAATTATTAGGTCTGTTCTTTTTAGCTGAACTTTTTGCATAGTTTATTTTTTTCTTTTTTTTTCAATGTGGAGAGAAAAAGAGAGATGAACCATGCAAAAAGTTCAGCTAAAAAGAACTAACTTATTATCTATTGTAATCGAACTTTAATAAGGTAATTTACTGAGCAAGAGTTACTATATTGATTAGAGACTTGCCATCGTGATATAGATTATAGATAAACAATTGATCAGCCAGATTTGAGCATAACTTATATTCTGCAGTAAAATATACTTCGAACGACGAAGATATGATATTATGACGTTTAATTCACGTGCCTTCAGCGTGCTAGTATAATCGATGTTCATAATTTGCTTACGAAGTAATCAATTCGTTATAGATGTTTTGTACACCTCATCGTTTTTTAATTTTTTGCGTTCGCTTTTGTTATACATATTTTATCTGAAACACATTCGATTGTGATTAGCGTGAATCTCCATCATCTGTATAAGAAACGGAGTTAAAAAAATATTAGATATTAAAATATATACAGGATAGTATAATTTTACTAAAACATATACGTATTAATCGCGCAGACATATTTTAAAAATGACGATGTACGATAAAAAATTCGATGCAAAAAAACACGCACTGATGATACTATGACTCATCAGAACATATTCCATACATTTCAGCAATATTGCAGCAATATTGCAAACATTGCAGCAATACAAGCTTCTGTGCTGTATGAGATTATAAAGAATTTATTTACTAAATCCAAAACGAAAATTTTTAACGTAGATACGCATCTAACCGATTTACGATGATTAAATATAAATATTCGTAAAATGTAAAATTTGTAAGTGCGATTTCTACCCCATATGCAGCATGTATCATGTTGGATCCTTGTTTCATTAACAGCCAACGAAGTTTAAATAAATTTATTAAACGCTAGATTTTACTTTTAATCTGTTTATTTAAGTTTCTTATCAATACTGATGTTTATGTCGCAATTATACTTCGATTTGCGATGTTTTAATCTAATTTTGTTTATTCTCTACTCAATCGCGTTTTCGTTTTATTTTACATAATTTACATAATTTTCTTGGTTGGAGCATTCTATCGTTATGTGAAAAAAGGACCCAACAAACATTCGGTAGTGTTGATTGAAAATGAGTCATTATTACATTGCTCAACGATTTTATTCAATCATATTAATTGCCGGTTTCAACATTAATCAATTTTAAACATAATTCGGATTATTCTGTTTTTTTTTTCAAAGTTTACAAGAACTGGAAAATACAATATTTTCAACTAAATAAAATTACAAAATCTGTCGAGAAATTTTGAGTTTGAATGTTTTAAACGTGGAGAATTAAGAATCGTTTTCCCAAACTGTTAAAAAGGATCATAACGACTTGACGAATTTTTATTTAAAGACCCTATATTATAGTTATTTCTCCGTAAGCTCATTCTGCTGCATGTGGCGTTTAGCATTTTAAAACATATTCAATGTAAAAAAAGATGAATTTTCCGCGTAGCGCATGGGTATGGTGACATTGGCACAACAGCAGCAGCCAACGCTCGACGGTCACCAGTGTCAAAAAGATCAGGACCACGTGAACAGTGCTGTCGTGTCTGCCGAGAATCACGCGGTCGACAAGTTTCATGGTGAAGCTGCGCACTCGGTGAGAGAAACCGCGGTCGTCGCTCCGGGCAATAGTAGCGTTGGAGATTCCTCTACGCAGTGCAGTGACGTAGACGACGATGAGGAAGAGGAGACGGACGTCGAAGAAGGCGGCAGCTGGATCACGAATCTGCCGGTATCCTCGACTATCGTCCAGCAACATCAAGCGGTTGCCACTACGAACGGCGATGTTGTCCTACCGAACGCCGATCCGTCGAATTTTGGTGACGTTTGTGTGAAAAACTCAACAAATGTGCATCTAGGTAACAAGACCTTCTACAAGGGTCCAGTTACCATAAAACAGTTCGTTTACACGAATCCCACTCCGGTCCAGGATGCAGGTAAACTCGACGTCAACTGCGCCTCCGAAGTTAACATCTCGGCTTTGTCGACGAGTAAGGACAATGGAGCTGCCAATGGACCCATTTTTCCGCAAAACACTGAATTAACTAAAGGTAATAATCAATTAGATTGTTTAGATACTTTGTTTTTAATTTATTCTATCGTCTTTCCTTTCCGGAGTATAGATAAGTATGAAATAGGTAATTAAAAACGTCTCGTTTTTAGATTTAGAATGACAACAGGATAGTTTTATGTAAGAAATTACGCGACTCGCACACAATAAATTGAATTACAATGTATGTTTTAAATACTTTTTGATATCATTGCAATAGGCTAGTATTCTAGTAATAAATATCTAAATAATAAAATATTGAATAGAAAAAATTAATATTCGCCTAAAAAACGTTAAATTTATCAATCGAACTTAACGCATAATTACTTGCGAACTGATTTTAGTAGTACATCGATGAACTTATCAAACGTTGTAAGGTGACGGTTTTAGTAACGTCTTATAGCAAATTCGATTGGACATACTCAGTGCACACTATGCATGTTAAAATCGTTACACACAAACCGACGTGAAGATGTATTTAATATAAATGTAAAAACCGTGAAAGTTTAACCCGTTTTTACATTTCTCAATACATTTTTAATGCGTTGTTAAATAAAATATGTGTTTTATAATTCGAAATATTTGCATTTTACTTTTACACTGATCAGATTAAATTAGTGTACAATGGTTTTAATATGCACCAGTGTGCACTAGCGCGTCCAATCGAATTCGCTATTATTAATGTTAGAGATGTCATTTGACGTCACTCTGCTATGACGTGATCGACATAGCTTCATCCGATAGACTCAAAGACGTCATCAAATCAAATTCTTTTTTTATACGTAAACCCTAAAATGTGTAGTACTGATAGTTATTTGAAATAATTGTATACATATAATAGTATATATAAATAAGGATAAATACCGTGCATATTTTCATTACCTATTAGATGAATCTGATGAAAAATCGATAATATATGATATTATATATATTCATCTCAAAGTAGCTTCGATAGTTTCTTTGAAACGTACGGAGTATAACAATCTCAGTTAAGCTGTAAAAATTTTTTAAAACCATTTTAATGATATAACAAATATCATTAATTCTTTTGACTAATATTCTTAACTGTCACAACTATACTAGAATATAAGCGAGTTTCAATATTGTTAATATATTAAATAGAAATTTGTTCTTACACTTTTAATTATTACAAGAAAGAATTAAAATTTTACACGATTGTGAATAGACTAATAGAAGAGTAGCATCAAACAAGAATTATAAAACATGAAAGATTTAATGCAATTATAATACACTTCTCGCTAAACACGCGCTTTCCAGCGTAATGATCATGTAATTTTATCCAACGCTATTACGTAGCTTGTAAACTTGTTCTAATAATCGTTCTAATACAGCACTTTATAATTATTCTAGTGACGCAATGGCTTTGGACATGGAGATGTGCGGCTTTATCATGCATTCTAGCTTTAATACTTCTAACTACTATAGTGGTCACATCTGTATATTTCATTCATTACCCGGACGCACCAGTCTTCCCAGAAATTCCAGACTCGTCGCTCGAGGGTAATTTCATCTGGAAATTTTTTTGCTTTGCAAGCACATAAGACAAACATTATCTTAGCGAGATTACAAAATTTAAATCTGTGTCCGAGTTCCATATTTATTCTATCTGTAAAAAGCGTGTCCGTTTTTTATGAATCACATATCAAAATATTTTGCATTTTTATATACTTTGCACTTTGTAATGTTCCAGATTTTATTGCAAAAACTGGCGTATTCGTCTGATTAAGATTGTTACATTTGGTGTAAAATTTTTTAATTAATTAGTTTTTAATTAATTTGTCTGCATTTTGAGCGATATATCTTTGTATGATATATGTATATTTTATTTTTCTAATTTTCAGGTATAATAGTAACTTCGGTACGCTTTGTCGAGAGAAACGAATGGGGTGCGCAGCCGCCCTCGGAGCCTCTTAAAAAAATGAAGCTGCCAGTACCATATGTAATTATTAGTCACACCGCAACAGAGTTCTGTACCACGCAATCAGAATGTACATTTCACGTGAGATTTGCTCAGACTTTTCATATAGAATCTAGAAAGTGGTCGGATATCGCCTACAATTTTCTTGTCGGAGGCGACGGTCTCGCATATGTTGGCAGAAGCTGGGACTACGTTGGTGCTCATGCCTTCAATTTCAACAATAAGAGTATCGGTATTTCCTTTATTGGTACATTCAATTCAGTCGTACCACCGAAAACGCAATTACACGCTGCGCAAAAAATCATAGAGATCGGCGTTAAAGGCGGGAAAATTTCACCTGACTATAAACTGTTAGGTCACCGACAAGTGTCAAAAACTTTGAGTCCAGGAGATGCTTTATATAATGAAATTAAAAAGTGGCCTCATTGGTCACCTCAGCCTTAACTCGATTGCTTGGAAATTTAAATTGTGAATAAAATACAATTTTCGAAAATATTTACATAATTTTTTTTCTTTAAATCTGAAGTTATACCATACATTTGTCTATTCCGTTCAGCTAAATTTCTTGCATCGTTTATTTTTTCTTTCTTCTTTTTATATCGAAGAGAAAACATGAATTGTGCAAGAAGCTCAGCTGAAAAGAACAGACTATAATTTTAAATTTAGATAACAGTTGACTGAAAATATCTACGATCCTACTACTTATACTGTCACAAACTGCTCCAAAAGTAAATCTTTTTGAAATGACAGATTTCAGTTTTTACAGACTTGTAGTATAATAAATAAGTTCAATTAGAATGTGAGCCAATTAATGAAAAATAAGAAATGTACATACTGAAGATACAAAAAAATATTGCATTGACCAAACTTTATAACAAAATTAACACATTGGTGGTATTAAATAAATTTGTTAAAATTGAAAATAATTTTAGAAATATATGTATTAAATATTAAACAAAATACAGAAAATGCTATAGTAAAAGAATTTAAAAATAGTCCATTTTTAACTATCTAGTAAGCAAGAAACATATTGGAACATTCCAGCAATATTGCAGTAACGTTGTAACGTTGCTGCAATGTTGCTGGAATGTTCCAGAATGTTTCTTACTTACTAGACACACATATTTACACATATTCATTGATTCATTAATATGTCGAAACACTAGATTATCCAATTCATTTGTTTTAGTAAAGAAATAAAAATTCCAATAGGTTTGTTTTCTATTCCTGCATTGGTTGCATTAATTCAAAAAGTGTACATACACGGAACTGTTTTCTGTTCTCAAAACGGTGTCAGCTGTTTTTTTGTTCTAGTGCAACAGAATTCAGTGCATGAGTTCACTGAACTGGCTGCAAGATCTGGAGTCAGTGCAAGTACTAATAAAATGTATGTACAGTTCAGGCACAGAATTAAAACAGACTTGTACAAATAGTGCGAGAGTTACGAGTAATAAAACGATAAAAATATATAAATGATAGTAAGAGTCTACATACAAAAATATTTTGTGCCATCATTATCTTCAATGAAGAAATTCTTAATGGTGGAATTTCATCAATACGTTCATTTTTATTATGCGAATTTCTAATATTTCCATGTAAATAATACGGGACGCCATTTTTATCTTGCACTAGAAGGTTTTTTATACACTCGTCAATTCTGAATTGTACTAGTTCAGTTCAGTTTTAGTGCAGTCCTCGTGCAAGAATAGAAAACAAATGTGATAATTACTATATACATATTTTACAGTATGCCAAATTTAATTGTGTCACATGTTAAAAATCCACTTAAATCTTGAAAAGCATCTTCTATATATTATAAAAAAAATATATTGTACATTTAACAAGTCTGCAATTTTTTTTAATAAAGAAATATGTATACATGTATCTTGCTTTTGTTCATCTTTTCTTCCACTCTTCCAGCTTCATTTTATTTTTACTCATCCCGCATTACTAATTTTATTGTAATAAGTGTGTATAAAGTCATCATATTGCATTCAGCTAAATGACACATTTGAATTAAATACTATATTATTTTATATAGAGTGATAGACCAATGAATATGTTGGGAACTGTAAGCTTATTGGCTACATTTTGCCGCGCGGTAAGCAATTTCACGTCACGTGTGTAGGAATCATAACGCATAGTGCATAAGAGAATCAACCAATCAGAATCCTTCCTTTCCTTTCATTTCACGGAAAAGAGAAACTTTTCGAACTCAAATAGATCGTAGCCAAAAACATTGTGTAAATGGGTGTATTCAGAACGACAATGTGAACTCTTTCATATGATTGGTCGATATTATAGGATCTAATGGAATATGCCAATCAGGTGAAAAAGTTCGCTGAGCGTTCAGTGAGCAGTCATTGGTCGCGTTCAGCAGACTCAACTGTTGTGAATCCGTGAACGCTCGCTGCTATTGAATGATCTAAAAGAATACACCAATAGCAGCTAGCGTTCACGGATCCGCTCCACAACAGTTGAGTCTGCTGAACACGACCATTCTGAATGCACCGCTTATATACAAAGATGAAGCGTTGCGTATAATTGCGATAGGCCCTTAGCAGAATGGCTGACTTATAATCTTAAGACATTGTTTTATGACTTAAATCTTGTCTTTAATAACTCCGGATTTACAATAGAATTTTAAGCCTTAAGCTATAAGAAATCGCAGGGCGAATCACAGTCGATTATTCTCCTCGGATTCGACTGTGATTGATCAATTTTCTACGATTTAAGACCTTACGACTGCTACGACTTCTATTGTAGATCTCGCATTATATATATTTACATCTTGGCCAAGAATGAGTATACTATATATCAATTGTCCACATCGTTAATTGGCTAATTTAAAATAATATAAATCTCATTGGTGAAACAATGAGAATTACTAGGAATCGGTGAGTGTGTGTGCAATTGAACTGTGTGCAAGTCACTGTAGCTGCGTTCCGTTTTACACATGATGTGCATAATGCATCATTTATCCTTGTTTAACATTTGGCGAATAACAAGGATAAAAGGTGCATCATGCGTGAAACGAAACGCAGCCTGCAAGTGCGCCGCTTCCGCCAAGAACATTAAAATGGAGTTTGACTAATCAAAATGCGAGAGATAAAGGTTTCTTAGTCCCGATTGGTCGCGTGCTCTGTAATCGCTGTCCTCAAATTTGGACACTTTCGTGCGTAGATTACCCCGAATCTAATAGGGTTTTAATGCTTAGGCCATAAAAAATGGGCGAATCACAGTCGATTATTCCCCTCGGATTCGACTGTAAATCCGGATCTACAATAGGTGTTTTAAGCCTTAAGCTATAAGAAATGGGCGAATCACAGTCAATTATTCTCCTCGAATTCGACTGTAATTGGATAATTTCTTACGGCTTAAGGCTTAAAACACGTATTGTAGATCCGGGGTAAGTCTGAATCTACAATAGGGTTTTAATCCTTAAGCCATAAGAAATGGGCGAATCACAGTCGATTATTCCCCTCGGATTCTACTATAATTGGTCAATTTCTTACGGCTTAAGTCTTAAAACACCTAGGGCGGAATCCATGGACGGTGCTCAAGATTCGATGGTCTTAAGCTAATGTATGAATCAATCAGAGAGCCGTATTAACATCTTAAGACATTGCTTGAGATTAAGACCGGACTATGGATTCCGGCCTTATTGTAGATCCGGATTTACGGCCGTTATTTCATTTATGCGTTTTGTTATATGACAAATTTTTCAAGCCTGTTGATTGGCTATAGGATAGAAAGATTCGAGGCTCTCTCTGGCTTGTACACATAGCACACATTTGAGATTTGTCGCGTCGTAAGATCCAACATGCTCCAACATGCTCATACCATAGTTCCTACTCGCTCTATCAAGCGCGTTGGAGTGAGTAAGAATTACGGTGGAGCATATTGGAACATGTTGGAGCATGCGACGCGAACAAACCTTTGGTCTGTTCGCGTTGCTTAAAATTCTCAAATATTTTTAAATTTAAAATGAGGTAGATATATAGATAGTTGAAGAGAGAGAGAGAAAGCGAAGATGCCGAGTGTAAGTGCAAGCAAAAAGTGCAAGCAACGCGAACAGACCTATTGTCGCACGACAAATGGTATCGACGCAATGGTCGATCAGCTTTCATCACGTGCCATCGTTTCCGGTTTCCAATAGAAAAACGAAGCATCACGAAAGTTTTGCTCGCGCATCGCCTTCTCCGAGTTTTCCCGCGAAGCCACGCACGTGTTTTCCGAGGCGTAGCCGTACCGGCGAGAAGTCATACGAGAAGGGGGGGGGGGACGAGACGCGAGGAAACAGTTTCGAAACGTATTTTTTTTTCTTTCGAGAGAATACGGGAAAAATCTTTGCAGGTTTCCGGTTTTCTTTAGGTACGAAATTACGTGAAAGGTAGTACGAGGAGTGGTAGTGTACAGCCATGCGGCGGGTATCGACGCGTGCGGTGTGTGTGCGTAAACGGCGCGTCGATTGCGCATTTCGAAGATGGCCATTTTGGCGGGTGACGTGTTGCGTGCGCGCTGTCGAGCGGCCATAACACGCTTCGCGGCGTGAACGACGTGCACGTTGCTCCGTCGTTATGAGAAGTTTGCGGGCACGTGTACGCGATCGTCATGGACATCTAGGATCAAATCGGCGTGATGGAATGTCGAGGAAATTTGATCGGTGGACGTACCGGCTAGACCGTGAACTCGCACTCGTCGCGTACGATTGCTAGAACACGCTAGAAGGGCGAGGGAGAGGGGGGCAAGGCACTATGGGAGCAATTTGCGACAGGCGCATGCGCAGATCAGTTTACAGTTGGAGCTTGAAAGAAAATGGCGTCAGCTAAGTTTCTGGAGGAAGCTCTGAGCACGGATGTCGATGAATCCGCAGTGAACGCGATAGTGGGCTCCCTCGAGACGCAGCTTGTGACATCCACGCCGACTGTCGCCGGCCATCAAGCGAGTTCCGCATCGGTCAGCCAGCAGAATCACCAGGTGAACAGCGCTATTTCCAACGGGGGCACCATCACCGCGGTGCAGCCACAGAAACATGGGGTTTCGAACGGCGGCGGTGCGACTACCGTGAATAGTCTAATGACTCAGGAGGTCACCAAGTCGATCACTACCAGTACTCTGCTGCCCGTGAACGTGGTTACCTCGAACACAGTGGCGCCACAGGTCATCACCACGCAGCAGCAGCAGCAGCCGCCGCAGGTACAGCCACAGCAGCAGCAGCACACGCAGCACACGCAACACACGCAACCGCCAGGAATATCTCCCGCTACCTATATCAATCAAGTAACGACTAATCAGGTGTCCAGTAATCAGACTACACATATACCAAGTTTGACCAAAACGCACGAACCAGTGAAGCTTATCTATCCCACGGTCGGACAAGTTATTGCCACTACGGGGGTGGCAAATGCTAATAATAAGCTTTCCTTTCCCGCTCAAACTGTTGGACAGTTAGCAAACGGTACTTTAGGTA